CCCCTAGAGGACAGAGTGGAACTGCCCCACAGGGTTTCCAAGGCTGTCAGTCTTTACAGAAGCAAAGCCCAAACCACACCCACTGCCGTGGAGTCAATCCCGACTCATAGCGCCCCTAGAGGACAGAGTGGAACTGCCCCACAGGGTTTCCAAGGCTGTCGATCTTTATGGAAGCAAAGCCCAAACCAAACCCACTGCCATAGAGGCGATTCTGACCCACAGCGCCCCTAGAGGACAGAGTGGAACTGCACCAGAGGCTTTCCCAGGCTGTGGATTTTTATGGAAGCACACTGCTTCCTCTTTCTCCTGAAGAGAGACTGGTGGGTTCCAACAGCAGACCTTTTGGGTTAGCAGCCGAGTGACTTCACCACTGCGCCACCAGGGCACCTTTCCTTGGACTTACTGAGTACACAGTGAGTGAATGGAAGAAGGGTTAGCAAAGATAACAGAGCACTCGAATTCCTGAAACTGCAGACTTACTTTGACAATGAGCTATGACCTGATCGTGTGTACGCACGCACGTGCGCAGAGCTGAGCAATCTGGCAAAGTTACCACTTTGAAAGACTTCATTATCACAATCCTTTTGCAGCAGTCTAAGATAATAATGGAGATATTTAAAAATAATTAGCCCCAACGATCCCCTAAAATTGTTTTAATCTAGTCCCTTTGCCACCAAATGTTCTTCTAAAACATAAATTGTGAGCGAAAACAAACATCCAGTCGGGGAAATGGATTCTTTGATGATTCATTCTTCCATAAGGTTTCTTTAATAATGGAGATTCAAACCCACTTGATTTCAGCCATTTTTTATACTGTTCCTCAGCGTGCAGTACCTTTCCAATTCGATTCTCCACTGGTTACCGAAAGATACACAAAATTAACCACTCTTAGATTCGAACGTGGCCTGGGAATCGCTACCCACAAGCAGATATATACAAAGGGCTCGTGAGACGTGAATCAGTACAAAAGATTTCCGAAGTCTTTAATAATATAACCACTAGGCCCATGTTGCAACGAGTAACTTGGGGGGGAGGGTGATTCATAATTATGATGCCTGGACGTGAGCTCATAAACAGCTAACGAAGCAAATTCTGTCCCATTGTGCGGGACACTGTAGTCCCTGGGCCAAACACAAAAACAGCAAGTTTTAAACACACCCACATTTTCCTTCATTCGGGACTTTGAACAGGCATTAGCACTTTTCCCTCTCAATCTACCTATAAAGCCTATTAAGACACATGCAATAACGCTTGCAGCCCGTCTGCACACAGAAACGCTTCAAGTCACACACAGATGTGTTTGGTGGATGAAAGTAAACAAATGACAGGAAAAGAAACGCGGATTCCGAGAGACAAGACTGCCACCTGGACACACGGCTGGGAACGGGCGAGCTCATTCCTCAGAAGGAGTAGAAAATGGAAAATATGTCAACGGCACTTGGTTAAAAGTTTCCACCTTCCCACACACCCTCTGCCCCCCAGCGCCTAGGCTCCGAGGGCGCCCCCTCCCGAAGCGCGCGGAGAAAATCTGTACTTGACTTCCGTCCTCCCCATTGGCAGGAACGAGACCCTTCCTGCCCGCACGCCCGCCGGGAACCCCCCACAGGGACACCTCCCCGCGCGGCGCCCGGCCAGGCTAAAATGGAGCCCGCGCTCGGCATCCCTCGCGCCGCCCCGGGCGCCCAGCCCGCGCCCACCTCCCCGCACACTCAGCCCCCGGGCGCCTCGCCTCCGCCGGCAGGAGCCCGGTGCCCGCCCACTCGCCACGTCCAGCGCTAATCGCCCTCGCAGCCACCGCAACCCTAATCTGCCGCCCGCAGCCTCGCTCGCCGGACGCCGCCTCCCCTCCCCCGCGGCCGGGCCTCACCCCTCCGCGCCCCGGCCAACGGCCCGCCCTGCCGCGAGGACCGCGCTAGGCCCGCGGCCACCCGCCCGCCGCACCTACCATGGTACAGATGGAGGCGAATTTGGAGACTGTCATTAGGATTTCCATCCGCCCAGCGCCATCTTCCACCCAATCACAGCGGCGGCGGGCGGGGGAGGGAGCCGGGCGCCCGTTCTCGCCGCAGCCCCGGGCAGACCCCGAGCCGCGCGGACGGACGGACCGAGCCTGCGCTGCCGCTGCCGCCGGCGCTCA